CCTAACACCTGTGTAATTCAGGAGAGGAGGCAGCCAGCAGCTTAATTAGCTCCTTTGGCCAGGGAAGTGTTAAAACGCGACTCCTGGCACTGTTTCAATTTAGTGCTTTCAGATAGTAAGCAGTATCATCCAATTCTATATACAAATCAACCAGGCCTGCTTCAGCGTGGTTGAAAGGGTCACCACAATTATGTAAAACATGAGTAATAACTATAATTGGGGTAGTTTGCTAATACAATAAAAAGCTCCGAACATGAGAAAAGTTATTCTCACAGCAGTAGCTATCACTTTCTAAAGTAAGAATTCATGGATGAAATGACATGAAAAAGATGGTTATAAAATTTTAATGGAATGATAAAAGGCAAAAGTCAGCCTCTCAGCTGAATTCTTAAAATCCCTATATATCACAATCCACTCCTTAACTGTAAAATCAATGTGGAGTATAACATGTTGTCAATGGGGCTGTCACTGGAGGGGAGACTGGAGGTATGACAGCCACACAGCTCAGCTGGTCAATGATGAAAACACAACCACCCAGCCCTCCCCGTGGGTGTAATTGTTTAAAGAACCCCCTCCTGGAGCTGGGAGGTGAAGCATCCTGTCCGTACAGATTACACATTCATATTTGAAGCCATTTCACTACGGCATTAATAATGGAAACCAGTTTCACTTTGGCAAATGAAATTATCTTTTACGGGAGGCTATTTTGCTCATCAGCTTCAAAAGTTCAGCCACAGCCTGCGAAGCAAGGAATAAAATTGTTAACAGAGAGTTTGTGTATTTACTTTTATCTTAAGGTGTGTATACAGGGGCCGGTGTGCACGTGTATGCATACGATTAAGCAGATTGTATTGCTCAGAGTTTGATTGTCCACAGAACTTTGAGCAGCATGCCTGATTCTTCTTTATTTGTTTGCTATTAGCATTACCCATGATTGCTCCATTTCTCTTGTTACCACTGTTGCCTTGAAGCAACTTTTTACCATTCTAATTAAAAACTCACTCAGATTAAAAGCTCTATTCAGTAATATTAACTCCACAAATGAATCTCTCCTAAATTTACTAATGAATTAACAATCAAGGTAGCAACTATATGGATGTATAATTACTTAGAGCAATATATTATAGGCTAATTGTTAATGTAGCCCTTTGATACTACAGATATGTTAGCAGAAGAGTGATGCATTCTATCTTCTCTTTAATCATGAATTCGTTTATCAATTTATAATGTATACCCTAACTACTTCCTAAAAGGATTTTTGACAGCTCATAATAAAAGACCCAACTGTAATAGGGCCAATAAAATAAAGATAAAGAAATATCAATCTTGTGATGAACAAGGTACAATAGCTGTATCAAAAACAAATATTAAGAATGGGTATTACAGTCATATACAAAAATGAATTTTTAGCCTCTTAACAATTTATAAAGGAAGTTGTGGCTATATTAATTAGGGACTATTATTTCTTCAAACACATGAAGATTTCAATGCTTGTCATTTAGAGACCTGATAATTGGTACATTCTTTTTCTCCACTTCTCCTGAGGTCAGGAAAGTAAGATACAAGTTAGGAGAAATGAATGATTTCTGGAACAGCAGCATGAGTGTTAATTGACTGTGGAATCTTGAAAGTTAGGGACAGAAACAAAATACATAGTTATGAGAATTCAGAGGAACTGATATACTTCAAAATATCTCTTCTCTTTTGGCAGCATTTCACTTTAGTTATTTTAGATTTAATTAATCAACTTTGTATATCCAGGAGGCTGTCTGACCTCCAATAGTAACTGAGCCATCATCATTTTATTTACGAACACTTGGAAAACTGAGGTTTCAGAAACCTTAGTAAATTATTAAAAGGATATTATTTTAGAATTATGGAAAGCTGTGGTTTTTAGTAGTATATATTTACATGCAGGTGTTACATAAAATTCCAGTTTAGACAGAAAATTATTATGGTCACCATCCAATTTGTCTTGTAAAAATAGCTGACAGAAATAATGGCTATAATTGTATATTAATTAATAAACAGAATAATATTAATAGATATTTTAGTAGTAGTTTTCATGTAATGAAACTCTATCAATTTAGGATTTGATATATTTAAATCTAAACATGCCATTAAGTATCAATGTGTGGGAATACAGATTTTAAAATGGTAATTTTAAAATCTTACTAGTTTAGTTATTTCAAAGCTGTTTAATGAAGAACCAGCAGATTGCACTTCTAGTTAAATGAGGAAATGAGCAGGAAGTTCCCATCAAAGAGCCTTTCATATAATATATACTTGAAAATACTGAAGTAATAATAATAATATAAAGTAGCTATGGTAAGGCTACTTTTATTAATTTACTAAATAAAAAAATAAGAAGGACTAGAAAAAGTTTAATTTCTTGTTATTTTGC